TTGGTATTGGTAAAATTTTAGTCTAAAGTAAATAGTTTCTTTTTTTCTTTTTTTGTCAGTGTTTCAATATTATTTTAAGATGATATAAGAGAAAAATAATGGAGGAAAATGAATGATCCGGAAATTTTCAATCTCAAATATCCAATAAATCACAATTCATCCTTCCCTATCCTTTTCATTTATCATCGCATCATATAATGTTATTGTTAGTTCCGTTTCCAGTTCCGTTTTCGTCAATTCCGTCAATCCGTTCCGCAATTCCGTTCCATCAATTTCATCAATTTTGTTTTCAATTCCGTTTTATCGCACTTATTTTCCGTTATCATTATCCAGTTTGCTCTTTGATCGGTTTTTCTTTTTCTTTTGCTCAAGAAATATCCTCATTTATAACCTAAAATTCTGGCTCATAATTGTCCTAATAATCAGATTCTTGATAACGTGATTCAGTTATATATCAAAACAAAAAAAAAAAGCGACACATGAAATATAGTCCAGAAAAAATGAGACATATGGAATACAGTTCGGAAAAAAATGAGACATATGAAATGAACCTAGAAAAAAACGAGTCATTTAAAAAAAATAAAGCAAACGGAAAAATACCCGCAACTGATAAAGAAAATAACGGAAAAAAATCGAAGCAAGATCTATGGACTGATCAAAACCGGAAATCTGATAAGTGATCAGTAGACTGGTCCGAATCGAAAAAGGTTAACATTATTGTTTTTCTTTTTTCTTTTTTTTTTTATTTTCTAATAAATTAAAATAGCTCATGTTTAATTTTTGCTTCCATGTACTGCAATAATTTCGATAATTTAAACGATTGTTAATTAAGCAAAAAGTTTTTCATCATCTAATTAGCAATCCAATAATTTTTACTTCGAATATTTGTTTTAAAGAAAAAAAAATTATTTTAAAGAAAAAAAAACATACAATTTTTTTTTTTTATTAAAAAAAGCGAAAGAATTTTTTCGTACTATTTCAGTCAAAAATAGTACTAATATTTGAAAATAAATTAACCGAATAATCCAATCTTTTGATAATTAATTAAACGAATTAAAAATTTGAAATACCTCCTATGAAATAGTATAATGTGAATGGAAGGAAATCACTTTTGGCCAATTAAGTAAAATTACAAATGATACGAAAATTTTAATTTCTCTCTCTCTCTCTCTCTCGCG